TGCTCTTAAAAAATACACAACACCTATTTAATTTTTAAAATGCCAGTTATTTGCATTTTAGTTTGAAAATGGGGGGTTTTTCTTCTATTTTTGTACATTATCAGTTTGATTTCTCCACTGGATTATGCTTAGATGATAGTAAATAGAGATGTATGCCTTTAAGTAGAAATTGCAAATCTTCATACAAAAATAGTAGGTAGATTACACCTGAGTTCGTTGAAGCATCATTGATTTCCAGTGTTCTTCAATGTTAGTGGAGCCTAAGCATGAAAGAGAGAGAACAGCTTGGGACGTGGGAGAATTAATTGAGTTAGTGGCATTTAATTTTTCTCTCCAAATCTCTCAGTATCTTTTAAACATAGCAATTTGTAATGTTAGTTTAAACACTTTCAATTTTGAAGTTCTAATTATAGTTTATATAGTTCATGTTTTCCAAAGAACAATGCTTCGTTTTACATAGAAACATTTGGTATTTCTTTCAGATGTTTAAATATTTCAGTGTTGGCAATTGGGTGGGGGGGAGGGGATCTTTGTAATTGCCTTGCAAAACCTTGCTGATAGGAACCAAAACCATGTATTAAAAGAGAAAAAGTAATTTTAAAATTTGAGTGTATAATTTTTGGTGGGGTTTGTAAATGCAAAATATATGTTTAAGCTAAAATGTATTGTGTATGCAGCCATGGAATCAATAATAATCACAACTACATTGTATTAAGTTCAGAATTTTGAGTGATTATAGATACTTGACAGCTTGAAAATTACCTGTTGATTATCATTTTATTTTTTATTTTCATGAAGAAGAACTTTTAATATATCTTTTGGCACTTAGCAAAGAAAGATTTTGTCTCTCAATGTCATATTACTTTACATTTTTGCCCTTTTATCGATCTAGAGTCTTTGGGGTATCAAGAGGATTGGAAGAGCTGTTGGAAATCACAAGAGTGACAACTGACACAGGAGGTAAAATTATATCTCATAACTCATGGGATGACCAGAGCGAGGCCTTTTGTCCTTTGGAAGAACTATGGTTTATTTATAAGTTTGTTATCTGTCAAGTGGGAAAGATCAAATCTCACTTTCTATAGCACAGTTCATGGGTACAACATCACAAAGTGGTAGAAAATATTTTATAAGCAATATGTAAAAAATAGAAGTGACTTTTGAAATTTAATTGAATTTTCCAAGGAAAAAAAAAAAAAATAATTAAAGAAAACAAAACCCTGAATGAAAGCAAGGATGAGCTAATTTAACTATTGATGATATCTAAATTACCTTTAATTTCATTATAATTATTTTCAAATATCCCATTTATTTTTATTGATTCATTGTTTATATGTATGAAGGATGTATAACTATATACAAATGGCATGCACATCTGGAAATAGACATATGAATGGGATGTTTTTCTCTTCCAGAGAGTACAAGCTAAACAACTGTCAAGGATCTTGCTCTAAAATAGACTAGTCTATATAGTAACATAAAGTCCTGGGACTGAAAATCTAAACACATAATCCCAACATCAAGAAATCACAGCTCAAAGGTCTAGGTTTTTTTTGTTTGTTTGTTTCCTATGTACATACACGGCATTCTAGAAATCTAATTCAGTGTAATCTGAGAAGCAATATAGTACAGTAGGTAGTTCAGAGCATAGACTCTGGAGCCAGACTATATCAGTTTTTTATCTGAAAACTGGGAATGGCAACAATGCTTATCCCATAGAACCATTAGGGAGATAAAGTGAGTTAATATTTGAATCATACTTAATGTCTTAAGTGCTATATGTATTAAATAAATAAAACAATAGTGGCCAATGATTATCTTAAAATTGTATTATAGTTTTCTCTATCAGGAAAATCACTGGAGAGATGGCTCCAATGGCATATTGTTTATCAAGGAGAAAAGGCTAGACTCTTTGACCTTTACTCTTAAAGGTGAAAGAGAAGCATAAAGATAGAGAAGGACATTTCAGGTGACTCTGGTAGAGTGGCTTTATCCTAAGACACATCAGGTTTTCAGCAGCAAGCATACCCATATAAAGAAGAGAAGATGCTAGCATTGAGAACACCAACAGAGTTAGTGTGCTTTTAGGTTTTATGTCAACTTGGCTGGACCAGGATTCTCTCATGATATGATCTAACATCAAGTGGCCAATTCTATGACAAGCTCCTTGGTGAAGTAGCCAAGTGATTGTGAGAAGACTAGTGTAATCTGGTCACAGTCTTGGTACAATTGAAGGAGGTTTCATTCTGGCAATGGCCTACTTAGTATGAATTGATGGCATGCTGGAGCTAGTTCACTTATATTGCTGGATGTGTATCCTGCATCTGATTCCTTGACTTCTTATTGTATCACCTGCAGCTTTCAGGAGCCATTAGTGGACCGTAACCTTGCATTCATTCTGCCTATCTTGAATGATTCGTTCAGCTCTGCATCCACCAGGCTGAGGTCTTTCTGCTTCATATCCCTGCTTCCTGTTCATCTGCTCCTGCAGCTACACAAGCCAGGAGAAGCCTCCTGTCTACATCTGACTTACACACAGGCAACAGATGGAACTTGCCTACTTCTACAACTAAGTGAGCCATTTCTTGGTATTAATTCTTTCTGACACACATACACATACAAATGCCATTGCTTTGGCTTCTGTCCAGAGCTAAGCCCAACATAGATAACCTTTGAACAGATTAGCCAATAATCAAACTCAAAAGGGTTAATGAGTTTGATGTGGTAACTATGAACATATTCAGAGTTGGGTTTGGAATCCAAGTGGGGAAGTAACTGCGTTTTCCAGGGAGTGGTATTCAGTGATCATAGGTGTCAAATGTATGCTTCTGGATGATTAGTCCATGTTGGAACAAGGCTTATGACAGCTGTTCACCTTGTATTCCATGCTGAATTGCCAATGAGCCATTACTGGAACCACCAGCAGAGAAACTGGGTATTCAGGGCCCATTGTAGCAAATGTCTCCTCTCCCTGTTTCACATAACCATTCTCTCTTGCCTCATTTCCTACGACCTAATTAGCTCCCAATTGTTTCCCTTTTTTTAAAAATCAGATTTGGGCCCCTTATATTATCCCTTCTCTCTTTGCCCACAGAACTCTTTTGGACAAGCTTATCTTTATCTATTCTGCATAATAACTCTGTCCAGTTGAGCTCTGGCCTCAAGGTCCTACCACACAGGCGTATCTCAGTTCCCCTTAGAGAGAAGTCCAAACCCAAATGTCTGAGTCCCTTTTTACAATTGAGTTTTCAGTATCTAGTCCACATTGGTACTCTAATCCTTTATCTAGTTGATGAACACCAGAGGATTAGAGTACCAATTGAGAAATTAAACATTCAGATTACAGTATTAACAATGAATTGGGATTCATGTAATGGATCCACTAAATTGTACACTTGTAAAAGTTACATTGGGAAATGTTGAATGATAAAGTATGTTAACAACAACAAAATACCCAAAACATGTAAAGAGAGAAAAAAATAATAAAGCAGTTGTGGATGCTGAAGATGAGTAACTAAACACCTCATCACTGAATATTTTCGGCAAATGTTCTATAGAAGAATTCTTACCACCTGGGGAGAAATGCAAAAAAGAATTTCATATTCTACAAATTTCTGGAGCCATAAATACTGGATAATTTTTGAAACTTAATAAGAAATATACCCTGAAGTCTCCTTTAAACAGTTCTTGTTTCTATTGATATGTGCCATCAAGGTGGTTGTGAACTGAGCAAAACAAAATACAACTCTGCCCGATCCTAGGCCAGCCTCATAATTATTGTTAGGTATATGCTCATAATTATTGTTAGGTATATGCTCATTGGTGCAGCAGGTGAGCCTCATCCCGAGTTTAAGGACTTGGTGGTTGTTGGATTTTGGTTTGCTTCTGACCTGTTGCTTTGAGGATGCCCAACAAATGGCAATGAAGGACCAACATATACCGACCCAAATATCAGCCAAAGCACCTAATTTACCACAAAAACTGCATTAAAAATGTGCTGAAAAAACTCAGCTTATATTCAAGTATATACAGTGCTTTCTGTTTTCACACTTTCTCTGATTTTTGTGTGGCAAGTGTTAGTCTATCAGACATGGTTCTGCCTTTGTAAATGAGTATTACTGAAAGTACTGTCATATCTCTAACCTTCATGGTTTGTGTAACTAGTACCAAGGCACCTAGGTTTCAAAGCTGTACAAGTTCATAATTCA